AGGTGCATGGGCAGCAACAGCAGAACCAAGAGCGAGTGAGCCCTGCTGCGGTCTCACAGCCGAGCGCGCTCATGAGTGCGCAAGCCGCAGGAGATGCAGCATGCCGGGTCTCTCACGCTGGGTGCACACTATCGAAGCAGCCATGTCAGCAGTGGACTGGGGAGCGAGCAGGGTGTGAGGCTCGATGAGGAAGCGAGGCGGAGGGAGAGGGAGGAGGAGGAGGTAGCGAGGCTGTTGCGGCAGATGGTGCGTGCAAGCGAGCTCGACTCATCTCAAGTTTTGTCCCATCGTTCACGCCTCTCAGGTACTGTGCGCGTCCCATCGCATGCCTTGGGACTTGCCTAGACAACCGTTTTCACGCCACTTGGATGACTAAGGGCACTCTCTCCAGGCTTTGGTTGAGCTCACCCTGATATGTGCCTTCTTTTTCCCCTTCCTCGTCCCTTTCTCAGCCCTGACCCCCCCCACTCCTCTCACCGGCAGGTCCACCAAGCAGCACACAATGCATCGCTCCCCTCTGCTGCACACCAACGCCAGGCATACAACAGCAGCCGCCAACTTGTGCGGCAGCTCCCTGCGTATTTATTACTATGCACTTGTGATTCAAGAAGCATGCATACACTCCCAACTTTAGTACATTTTTGGCACTTCAGGACCAAAATCAAGCTCGTAGCCTCACAACATGTTTTATAAAAAAAGTCCTTACAATTGTATCACTAAATACATAACCTTTATCACCCAACCCTGGATTCTTCGATACCAATCACGTGACTAGTCATATGCCTGTGCACGAATGCAGGGAATGGAAGGGAATGGCAGGGAATGGAAGGGAATGGAAGTGTATGGAAGGGAATGGAAGTGTATGGAAGGGAATGGAAGGGTATGGAAGGGTATGGCTGGGGTATGGAAGGGAATGGTAGGTATGGAAGGGAATGGAAGGGTATGGAAGGGTATGGAAGGGAATGGAAGGGTATGGAAGGGAATGGAAGGGTATGACAGGGGATGGATGGGTATGGCTGGGGTATGGAAGGGTATGGAAGGGAATGGAAGGGTATGGAAGGGAATGGAAGGGTATGGAAGGGAATGGAAGGGTATGGAAGGGAATGGAAGGTATGGAAGGGTATGGAAGGGAATGGAAGGGTATGACAGGGGATGGATGGGTATGGCTGGGGTATGGAAGGGAATGGTACACTTACGCTAGGGAAGGAAAGGTATGGCAGAGTATGGCAAGGTATGGCAGAATGAGGGACGGGCTTGGCTGGCGTATGGAAGGGTATGGGAGGAGATGGAAGGGTGTGGCGGTGTATGGGGGCGGATGGATGAGTATGGCATGCGATCATCCAAGGGTACGGTAGGGGTTAGAAGCGTATGAGAGGGAGAAGGGGGGAAAATGAAAGGAGATGGGGGGAAATGAGCGGGGGGGAAACGAGATGGAGAAGGGGGGGGGAATGAGAAGGAGCACGTGGGGAAAGGAGAGGGAGATGGGGGGAAACGAGAGGGGGAAGGGGGGGGGAATGAGGGGAATTGAGAGGGAGGTTATGTGGCATTTAACTGAGTGGTTAAGGGGGGAATGAGAAGGAGCAGGGGGGAGAATGAGAGGGATAAGGGGGGGAAATGAGAGGAAGAAGGGGGGTACATGAGCGAGAGAAGGGGGGACATAACAGTGAGCAGGGGGGAGGATGAGAGGGAGAAAGGGGGGGAATGAGGGGCTTCATGGGGGGAATGAGAGGGAGTAGGGGGAGATATAAGAGGGGGAAGGGGAAGAAATGAGAGGGAGAATGGGGGGAAATGAGCGGGAGAAGGGGGTGACATGAGAGAGAGAAGGTGGGGACATGACAGGGAGCAGGGGGGGAGATGAGAGGGAGAAAGGGGGGGATGAGGGGCTTCATGGGGGGAATGAGAGGGAGTAGGGGGGAGGAATGAGGGAGAGCATGGGGGGAAAATGAGAGTGAGCAAGGGGGAAAATGAGAGTCTGCAAGGGGGGAAATGAGAGTGCGGCTGCCGCGGCTAGTGCGGAAACGTGGTAGCGAGGCTGTGCGATCGGGCGGCGACTGTGATGTGTGTTCGCCAGTTTGAGAAGGGAGGCGAGAAGGGATAATCGGGAGTGGGAAGGGGAAGCGGGGAGGCGGGAAGGGGAATTGGGGTGTCGGGAAGGGGAATTGGGGAGGCGGGAAGGGGAATTGGGGAGGCGGGAAGGGGAATTGGGGAGGCGGGAAGGGGAATTGGGGAGGCGGGAAGGGGAAATGGGGAGTGGGAAGGGGAAACGGGGAGGCGGGAAGGGGTAATGGGGAAGCGGGAAGGGGTCACGGGGAGGAGGGAAGGGGTAATGGGGAGCGGGAAGGGGAATTGGGGAGGCGGGAAGGGGTAATGGGGAGCGGGAATGGGAATTGGGGCGGCGGGAAGGGGTAATGGGGTGCGGGAAGGGGAAACGGGGAGGCGGGAAGGGATAATGGGGAGCGAGAAGAGGAAATGGGGTGGCGGGAAGGGGAATTGCAGAGGCAGGAAGGGGTAATGGGGAGCGGGAAGGGGAAACGAGGAGGCGCGAAGGGGTAATGGGGAGCGGGAAGAGGAAATGGGGTGTCGGGAAGGGGAATTGGGGAGGCGGGAAGGGGAATTGGGGAGGCGGGAAGGGGAATTGGGGAGGCGGGAAGGGGAATTGGGGAGGCGGGAAGGGGAAATGGGGAGTGGGAAGGGGAAACGGGGAGGCGGGAAGGGGTAATGGGGAAGCGGGAAGGGGTCACGGGGAGGAGGGAAGGGGTAATGGGGAGCGGGAAGGGGAATTGGGGAGGCGGGAAGGGGTAATGGGGAGCGGGAATGGGAATTGGGGCGGCGGGAAGGGGTAATGGGGTGCGGGAAGGGGAAACGGGGAGGCGGGAAGGGATAATGGGGAGCGAGAAGAGGAAATGGGGTGGCGGGAAGGGGAATTGCAGAGGCAGGAAGGGGTAATGGGGAGCGGGAAGGGGAAACGAGGAGGCGCGAAGGGGTAATGGGGAGCGGGAAGAGGAAATGGGGTGTCGGGAAGGGGAATTGGGGAGGCGGGAAGGGGAAACGGGGAGGCGGGAAGAGGTAATGGGGAGCAGTCGTTTCTGATTACCCTCGCGACACCTCAATTGCGGCTGCCGCCGCTACTGCGGAAACGTGGTAGCGAGGTCGCGCGATCGGGAAGCGACTGTGATCGTGCGTGTTCGGCAGTTTGAGACGCAGCGTGCGCGTTCACGGTGGCGTGAGGAGGCCGCGTGGTGAGGCAACGCGACGGACGACGAGGCGAGGCTGTGAGAAGGGGTCCGGCGGGCTCGCCGTGTTAGAGGGCGGAACTGACGTTGGCTCGGACGTGTAATTACACTAAACTGCCCCACGCGTCTAAGTTTGTGTCGGAAACGGGAGTGATTTGCGCTGGCTGTTGTCGCGATGTGCTTTGCTACGATTTATGCTGCTTGTTGAGCGTAGTGGCGTAGATCTCACATGGACTGGATTTCGTATACTTTTGTTATTCCAAAATTTTTGAATCACCAGTGAGCCCTAAGTGACGGGGAGATCACCTCCCTTGTGAAGCGAGTGAAACTAGCTGTTGCTGGGTTACCAATATTTCAGATTTCAAAACTTTTGAACCTCCCTTTTTCAAATGTATACGAAAGCTTTAAAGCACCTGGTGACCACAAAGGCCTATGGTAACAGCAACGGTGCAATGTTTACGGGAACCGGTATTCCAGCTCACCCGTCGATGCCGGGGGGCATGTGGAGATCAAGCAACAGCAGGTGGATGGGGGGGGAGGTCGGGGCAGAGGAGAGCGCAGAGGAGAGCGCCTTGATCGCCTCCTCCCCGGAGCACAGCAGCAGCACGTGCGCCCCGTAGCCCTGCAGCGTTCTGCGCGCCACCATGCGGTTCACCGCGTTGTCATCCACCACCGCCACCCCCCGCCCCGCCACGGCCGCTCGCACTAGACCCTCCGCCTCCTCCCCCTCCATGTGCCCCCGCGGCTTGGGGAGAGAGTGCGCCCGTGTTGTCCGCCGGCCCGCCACCGCTGCTCGCACCAGCCCCTCCGCCTCCCCTGCTGCTCCCTCCGTGTGCGCGTGCAGCTTGGGTTGAGATTGCGCCCGTGTTATTCGCCGGCCCGCCGCCTCCTCTAGCTTGTGGAGAGATTGCGCCCGTGTTATTTGCCGGCCTGAGACCGCCACTGCACGAACCTGCCCCCCCTCCGCGTCTCCCGTGCTGTCCGTGTGCGAATGCAGTGGCGGTTTCGCGAGCGAATGCGACCGTGCTATCTGCCGCCCCGCTCTGTGAGAGCGCGCTCGTGCTGCCCGCTGCTCCGTTGCCGCTGCCACCACTGCTGGCAACACCCCCTCAGCCGCTGGCGGTACCCCCTCCGCCTTCCCCGGCACCCCCACTACACGAACCTGGACCCCTTCCGTGTCTCCCATGCCTTCCGTGTAGGAGCGGGGTTTCGGGAGCGAAGGCAACCCTGCTGCCAGCCGCCCCGCAACCGCCGCGAGCGAATGCGACCGTGCTATCCGCCACCCTGCCTTTCCCACCTCTGCCACTGGCTTCTCCTCCTCCTCCTCTGTTGCCGCTGCCACCATTGCTGGCAATACCCTGTCCGCCTCTCCTTCACGCTCCAAGGATTCGAATATGCCGGCCCGCGGCTGAGAGTGAGGGTGTGCTCGTGCTGCCTGCTGCTGCAGAGGTTCCTGCTGCTGCTGCTGCTGCTGCTGCTGCTGCTGCTGCTGCTGCTGCAGAGGTGCCTGCTGCTGCTGCTGCACAGATGCTTGCTGCTGCAAGCTTGCATGCTGCTGCCCAGACTCTTGCTGCTGCACAGATGCCTGCTGCTGCTGCTGCTGCTGCTGCTGCAGAGGTTCCTGCTGCTGCCCAGATGGATGCTGCTGCAGGCCTGCCTGCTCCTGCCCAGGTCCCTGCTCCTGCCCAGGTCCCTGCTCCTGCCCAGGTCCCTGCTCCTGCCCAGGTTCCTGCATGTCTGGCATTGCAACACTCGCAAATTCCACACACTCCCCATCACTCCCTGACCCGCACCCATCCCTTTCACCACCACTCTCCTCATCTTCCCCCCAATCCTCACAGCTGTCGCTGTCCTCCCCTCTCCCCAAGGGCAGCGCCAGCAGAATGGTGGTGCCTGTGGCAGCGTCTGACAGCACTGCCATGTCTCCCCTCATCTCAGCCACCTGCAGTTGCATGGGGAACAGGGGGTTGGGCAGGGAGGGCCTTGGGTGCGTCAACTCATAAGAGCTAGCGGAATGGTGGTGCCTGTGACGGCGTGTGACAGCGCTGTCATGTCTCCCCTCATCTCAGCCACCTACAAAGACAAAGAGGGAGTGGGTGGAGGAGTGGGAGGAAAAGCGTGAAGTGTTAATGCCGTGTCTAAAAAATGCCATGTCTCCCTACATCTAAGAGATTTGCGAAGAGAAAAGGGAAGGGGGGAGAACAGGCGACCTTTGAGTCGACGCAAGCGGTCTAGGCAGGTGCACTTTGTTGACGGGAATAGGGTGTTGGCCCCGCCCTCGCTTGGGAGAAGCCGACGTAGTGGTCGGGTGCGCGGGTCCGCAGAGGTCGAGGCGTGCAGGTCGACGGGGTTGGTCGACCTGCAGAAGACTGCTGCGAAGCCGCTGACGACGGGAAGCAGGCGGCAGATTTCGACTGGCGTGGTCGACGAAGGCGTTCGTTGACCTGCCTTGGGTGTGGTCGACGAATGTGGTCGTCGACCTGCACGAGACTGTCGAAGAGGCCGTCGACGGTGGGAGTTCGACGGCGGCAGCTGGCCGAGATGGTAGACGGAGGGGTCCGTCGACCAGGGTCGTCTTCGACGGAAGCGATGGTCGATGAAGGAGGTCGTCGACCAGGGTGCCGGGTGGTCGACCCGGTCGACCAAGTTACCTCCTCGACGAGGTTATGCGGAGGCACACGAACGTCGTTGAGGCATCGGTGGCGAAGGCGACCTCGGGTTGGTATTCCCGAGGTCGACATGGAGCGACAGGCGCAACCGTCGGCACGTGGCCGACTTGGGAACCCGCGCGACGGTGCACAACGTGCTCGACCGTCGCCGCGCACCTGCGAAGTGGGTGCGCACCTGCGCTACTGTCACCTGCGGATGCAACGCTGGCAGATCGCTCTGCTGCAGCGTTGGTAGACCGCCTTGGTGCAACGTTGGCCAACCGCCGACTTGCTCGGTTGGCAGGTCGCCCTTCTGCAACGCTGGCGCGGTTCCTCTACGCAACGCTGGCAGATGTCGACATTGATGCGCTGGCAGTCAACCAGCTTGTCTGCAAGGTTGCTAGGCTCTTATGTAGTCATTCTTGCCATTGCTATTGCAACCATTGTTGTTTCCACATTTCCCTAGTGAAACTCTTGTCAAATTGTTCTGTGAATGTACAAGTGCTAGAGTACGCTAAGGAACGCTACGATCACTCCTAGAGCCCGTGCCTTCACCATAGTCCAGCTTCCGGTGTAGAGTGACTCTCCGCACACTTAACGCAAGCGGTCGAGGCAGGTGCACATAACGCAAGCGGTCGAGGAAGGTGCACATAACGCAAGCAGCACGGCACGATGCCAACAAGCTCGGTGCACGTGGCCAAGGCGAGGACAGGCCGGGGGAAGATGGCACTTACAAGAGCGGTGGAGAGCAGAAAGCGAACAGGGTAGGGCGTCCAGCGGGGACGAGCAGCGGACCGCTGCTCGTGCGTGAGAGCAGCTGTGGATGCTGGCCTTGTGCCCCGGCGCATGAAGGGGAGGGGGAAGAAGGAATCCTGGTGGAGGGTGGAGGGTGAGGTGATGCAGAAGAAGGGAAAAACAACACAGCACAGGACAGATTGAGCACACTGGCTATGCCAATTAGCTTGATGGCATTTGATGCGCCTCAGAAGCTAATCACTTACCTTGATACTTTGGCCATCCTCATTATCACCATCGCTGCCACCATCAGCATGAGAGATTCCGTGAGAGGAGTGTGCTGCAGCAGCATGGTGGGAGTCTCCGTGTGGATCTAGCACCCACCGCAGCTCCTCGGGTGGAATACCACCACCCGAGTCTTCACACGCCATCACCACCATCCACTCGCCCTCCTCTCTTGCCCCACACGCCCCCTCCACCCACTCCCTCGCCTCCTCCTCCAACCGCCCATGCCCACTCCCACCGTCTGCCTCCTCGCCTGCCTCGCCCTCCTTCCCCACACTCGATCCATTCGAACCCCCCATGCCTGAACCTCCCATTACTGAAGCCCCTAGGCGTTGGAGGAAACGCGAGAGCTGGGTGAGGGGCGACTCTTGAGAGGCCTCAGAAGAGCCCCCTGCCTGCTCGGCGCCGCTGCTTCTGGCAACGCGGCGCTGAGGGAGGCGTGCCAGATGGGTGGCAGGGGGGAAGCGGCGCACACAAGCCGCCAGCTGGCGCCACGCGGGGGAGCCCGAAGGGAGGTGGTGAGAGGCATGGGAGGAGGCGTGAGGAGGTGGTGGGACAGGGGAAACGTCGGCACTAGCAGATGCGCAGGGGAGGTAGAAGCGGCTTCTTGAGGCGTGTGGGGCAGGCGGGGGAGGGATGCAGCAGACTTGGAAGGACACTTGGCCACCAGTAGCGTTGCTCACGGCGTGGGCTGCAGGGGAGAGGGGGTTAAGGAGCTGGACAACTTGAGAATCTTGAAGGAGTGTGTGGTCAGTAAATGTTGATAAAATGGTTGTTATAAAGATATGACATATAGGTTAGAGATGTGATACGATAAGGTAGACATGAGTAAGTGGACAACTGACGGATTGGCTCGTCAAAAGGCCGACTCCCGAGCCTAGGTCGGTGTCGTGTGGTGCCAGGCATTTCTCTCTATTCTGATAATAATACATTATAAACTTATACATGTACATATAAACTTATATATGTACGAAAATAATATATATATACATCAGGTTTTCTATACATACACATATGTATATATTGTATACATACTTATCTTGAACAAAATAAGAAATAAGAATTCGAGGCTTAGCAGGTACGCACCTGTGAGCTCTTCAATGACTTGCGCCACGCGAGTAGGATCCCCCATGAGGACATCCGGCACACTCTCTTCCACGTGGCATGTCACTGCGACGCACGCACAATACAGCCATAGCACAACCACACTAGGAATATGAGGCGCCTCAGAAGAATCCCCCATGAGGACAGCCGGTACACTCACTTCCACGTGGAAAGCCACTGCAGCACACAGCATCCGCAGCACAGGCACAACAGCACACATCAGTCAGTATGCAGCCGAATCAGGACAGCAACCACAGTGTTCCATCAACTTAAGGGAGAATTGGCATGCATCAAACCGCTCATACATTGCGGATCGTCTGTTAGTGCACTCGAGTCAACAAGCGGAATTGCCTCATGAACAATACAGCGCAGGCAGCACGGGAGAGTCTCGAGCTGCAGCCGTCCCGCCTGCAGCTTGGCGAGGTCCAGTCCAGCGCACATTCATACCTTGCAGATTCTTTCCCGGTGCTATCGGTTCATCAACTGCTGAAGTGGCAGAAGTGGCTGAAGTTGCCTCGTGCACAATGCGGCGCAGGCAGCACGGGAGAGTCTCGAGCTGCAGCCGTCCCGCCTGCAGCTTGGCGAGGTCCAACACTCGGTTGATAAGCTCCACCGTCTCACCCGCACACGCCCTCGCAATCCTTAGGTCCTCACACTGCCACTCTTCCAAACTTGACTCCAGCAATTCTTCTATCATGCCTGTAGGGGTTAAAGGGTCCAACACACTTGGTTGATGAGGTCTATTGTCTCTTCCAGTTGCGACTCTAGCAGCTCCTCTATCATGCCTGTGCGGGAGGGGAGGGGAGGGGGAGAGGGAGGGGGAGGAGGAGGTGGGGAGGGTGGGGAAGGGGGGGGCTGCAACTTAGCGAGGTCCAACACGCGGTTGATAAGCTCAATCGTCTCCACCGCACACGCCCTCACATCCCTCAAGTCCACCACCTGCCACTCCTCCAGCCCCGCTTCTAGCAGCTCCTCTATCATGCCTGCGGGAGGGGAGGGGCGGGGGGTGTTGGCGAGAGGAACGGTGAATTGGAGCGAGGAAGAGTCCTCCTGATCTCAACTGCTGCCCTCACATCCCTCAAGCCCTCCAGCTCCTCTATCATACCTGATGGAGCAAGAGGAACAGTGAATCGGAGCAAGGAAGAGTCCTCCGAGCCTCCTTTACTGCCTTCGCATTTCTCAAGTTACTTTTATAAACGCCTTGACCCATAAAATGAACGCAATTGCACATGTATGAACGCCCTCACACATGTATGAACGCCCTCACAGACGTATGAACACCTTCACACATGCACGCACGCCCTCACACGTACAAGTAGACGCTCTACAACATGTATGACCGCCCTCATACGAACGCGCTAACACATGTAAGAACGCGCTAACACATGTAAGAACGCGCTAACACATGTAAGAACGCGCTAACACATGTAAGAACGCGCTAACACATGTAAGAACGCGCTAACACATGTAAGAACGCGCTAACACATGTAAGAACGCGCTAACACATGTAAGAACGCGCTAACACATGTAAGAACGCGCTAACACATGTAAGAACGCGCTAACACATGTAAGAACGCGCTAACACATGTAAGAACGCGCTAACACATGTAAGAACGCGCTAACACATGTAAGAACGCGCTAACACATGTAAGAACGCGCTAACACATGTAAGAACGCGCTAACACATGTAAGAACGCGCTAACACATGTAAGAACGCGCTAACACATGTAAGAACGCGCTAACACATGTAAGAACGCGCTAACACATGTAAGAACGCGCTAACACATGTAAGAACGCGCTAACACATGTAAGAACGCGCTAACACATGTAAGAACGCGCTAACACATGTAAGAACGCGCTAACACATGTAAGAACGCGCTAACACATGTAAGAACGCGCTAACACATGTAAGAACGCGCTAACACATGTAAGAACGCGCTAACACATGTAAGAACGCGCTAACACATGTATGAACGCCCTCATTCACACATGCACGCACACCCTCACACATGTAAGAACGCGCTAACACATGTAAGAACGCGCTAACACATGTATGAACGCCCTCATTCACACATGCACGCACACCCTCACACATGTATGACCGCCCTCTCTCACACATGTATCTTGGACTTCTCGGCTCTCTCGAATGCCCTTTGAGGTGCTTCAATACTGACACATACATGCACGCTCACACACATACATGCACGCCCACACACATACATGCACGCTCACACACATACATGCACGCCCACACACATACATGCACGCCCACACACATACATGCACGCCCACACACATACATGCACGCCCACACACATACATGCACGCCCACACACATACATGCACGCCCACACACATACATGCACGCCCACACACATACATGCACGCCCACACACATACATGCACGCCCACACACTCTCCCTCCCTCACCTATCACGCCAATGAGTGGCGTGCGCAGCTCATGCAACGTGTTGGCCACGGTCTCACTTTTGGACTTCTCAGCTCTCTCCAACGCCGCTGTACACAGCTGCATCTCCCGCACCCCCTCCTCCATCTGCTGCTGCTTCCATGCCAGAACCAAAATCACAGTGGAAATCAACACAGCCACCAGCAGCACCAGCAGACCCAGCAGCATGGGAGCAACAACCAGGTCCCACTTGGGGTAGGGGCCTTCAAACCTGCACACGAACATTCATGTGCGGAAGACAGAGGTCATGTGAATGAGCTGCATCCCACTTGGGGGGGCCCTCAAACCTGCACATTGGTATTTGTGTGAATGAGACAGACTTTACGTGAATGAGAGCAGCCAACAGCATCACAGCCACCAGCAACACCAGCACGCCCGCCCAGCAGCATGGGGGCGTACACCAGGTCCCACTTGGGGTAGGGGCCCTCAAACCTGCGAGTTGGCGTTCATGTGAAGGGGGCATAGTTCGTGCGAATGAGACACACTCTATGTGAATGGGACCAGCCACCAGCACGCCCGCCCAGCAGCATGGGGGCGTACACCAGGTCCCACTTGGGGTAGGGGCCCTCAAACCTGCGAGTTGGCGTTCATGTGAAGGGGGCATAGTTCGTGCGAATGAGACACACTCTATGTGAATGGGACCAGCCACCAGCACGCCCGCCCAGCAGCATGGGGGCGTACACCAGGTCCCACTTGGGGTAGGGGCCCTCAAACCTGCGAGTTGGCGTTCATGTGAAGGGGGCATAGTTCGTGCGAATGAGACACACTCTATGTGAATGGGACCAGCCACCAGCACGCCCGCCCAGCAGCATGGGGGCGTACACCAGGTCCCACTTGGGGTAGGGGCCCTCAAACCTGCGAGTTGGCGTTCATGTGAAGGGGGCATAGTTCGTGCGAATGAGACACACTCTATGTGAATGGGACCAGCCACCAGCACGCCCGCCCAGCAGCATGGGGGCGTACACCAGGTCCCACTTGGGGTAGGGGCCCTCAAACCTGCGAGTTGGCGTTCATGTGAAGGAGGGAGTCAGACATGATTCCATGCCTGCACCGCAATCACAGCGGAGAGCAACACAGCCACCAGCAGTACCAGCAGGCCCAGCAGCATGGGGGCGTACACTAGGTCCCACTTGGGGTAGGGGCCTTCGAACCTGCACATGGGGATTCGGGGATTCATGTGGAGGGGGGAGACATACATACATGCGCCATGTCATGTCTCACCTTCACTACCCCCATGTCTCACCTTCACTACCTCCATGTCTCACCTTCACTACCTCCATGTCTCACCTTCACTACCTCCATGTCTCACCTTCACTACCTCCATGTCTCACCTTCACTACCTCCATGTCTCACCTTCACTACCTCCATGTCTCACCTTCACTACCTCCATGTCTCACCTTCACTACCTCCATGTCTCACCTTCACTACCTCCATGTCTCACCTTCACTACCTCCATGTCTCACCTTCACTACCTCCATGTCTCACCTTCACTACCTCCATGTCTCACCTTCACTACCTCCATGTCTCACCTTCACTACCTCCATGTCTCACCTTCACTACCTCCATGTCTCACCTTCACTACCTCCATGTCTCACCTTCACTACCTCCATGTCTCACCTTCACTACCTCCATGTCTCACCTTCACTACCTCCATGTCTCACCTTCACTACCTCCATGTCTCACCTTCACTACCTCCATGTCTCACCTTCACTACCTCCATGTCTCACCTTCACTACCTCCATGTCTCACCTTCACTACCTCCATGTCTCACCTTCACTACCTCCATGTCTCACCTTCACTACCTCCATGTCTCACCTTCACTACCTCCATGTCTCACCTTCACTACCTCCATGTCTCACCTTCACTACCTCCATGTCTCACCTTCACTACCTCCATGTCTCACCTTCACTACCTCCATGTCTCACCTTCACTACCTCCATGTCTCACCTTCACTACCTCCATGTCTCACCTTCACTACCTCCATGTCTCACCTTCACTACCTCCATGTCTCACCTTCACTACCTCCATGTCTCACCTTCACTACCTCCATGTCTCACCTTCACTACCTCCATGTCTCACCTTCACTACCTCCATGTCTCACCTTCACTACCTCCATGTCTCACCTTCACTACCTCCATGTCTCACCTTCACTACCTCCATGTCTCACCTTCACTACCTCCATGTCTCACCTTCACTACCTCCATGTCTCACCTTCACTACCTCCATGTCTCACCTTCACTACCTCCATGTCTCACCTTCACTACCTCCATGTCTCACCTTCACTACCTCCATGTCTCACCTTCACTACCTCCATGTCTCACCTTCACTACCTCCATGTCTCACCTTCACTACCTCCATGTCTCACCTTCACTACCTCCATGTCTCACCTTCACTACCTCCATGTCTCACCTTCACTACCTCCATGTCTCACCTTCACTACCTCCATGTCTCACCTTCACTACCTCCATGTCTCACCTTCACTACCTCCATGTCTCACCTTCACTACCTCCATGTCTCACCTTCACTACCTCCATGTCTCACCTTCACTACCTCCATGTCTCACCTTCACTACCTCCATGTCTCACCTTCACTACCTCCATGTCTCACCTTCACTACCTCCATGTCTCACCTTCACTACCTCCATGTCTCACCTTCACTACCTCCATGTCTCACCTTCACTACCTCCATGTCTCACCTTCACTACCTCCATGTCTCACCTTCACTACCTCCATGTCTCACCTTCACTACCTCCATGTCTCACCTTCACTACCTCCATGTCTCACCTTCACTACCTCCATGTCTCACCTTCACTACCTCCATGTCTCACCTTCACTACCTCCATGTCTCACCTTCACTACCTCCATGTCTCACCTTCACTACCTCCATGTCTCACCTTCACTACCTCCATGTCTCACCTTCACTACCTCCATGTCTCACCTTCACTACCTCCATGTCTCACCTTCACTACCTCCATGTCTCACCTTCACTACCTCCATGTCTCACCTTCACTACCTCCATGTCTCACCTTCACTACCTCCATGTCTCACCTTCACTACCTCCATGTCTCACCTTCACTACCTCCATGTCTCACCTTCACTACCTCCATGTCTCACCTTCACTACCTCCATGTCTCACCTTCACTACCTCCATGTCTCACCTTCACTACCTCCATGTCTCACCTTCACTACCTCCATGTCTCACCTTCACTACCTCCATGTCTCACCTTCACTACCTCCATGTCTCACCTTCACTACCTCCATGTCTCACCTTCACTACCTCCATGTCTCACCTTCACTACCTCCATGTCTCACCTTCACTACCTCCATGTCTCACCTTCACTACCTCCATGTCTCACCTTCACTACCTCCATGTCTCACCTTCACTACCTCCATGTCTCACCTTCACTACCTCCATGTCTCACCTTCACTACCTCCATGTCTCACCTTCACTACCTCCATGTCTCACCTTCACTACCTCCATGTCTCACCTTCACTACCTCCATGTCTCACCTTCACTACCTCCATGTCTCACCTTCACTACCTCCATGTCTCACCTTCACTACCTCCATGTCTCACCTTCACTACCTCCATGTCTCACCTTCACTACCTCCATGTCTCACCTTCACTACCTCCATGTCTCACCTTCACTACCTCCATGTCTCACCTTCACTACCTCCATGTCTCACCTTCACTACCTCCATGTCTCACCTTCACTACCTCCATGTCTCACCTTCACTACCTCCATGTCTCACCTTCACTACCTCCATGTCTCACCTTCACTACCTCCATGTCTCACCTTCACTACCTCCATGTCTCACCTTCACTACCTCCATGTCTCACCTTCACTACCTCCATGTCTCACCTTCACTACCTCCATGTCTCACCTTCACTACCTCCATGTCTCACCTTCACTACCTCCATGTCTCACCTTCACTACCTCCATGTCTCACCTTCACTACCTCCATGTCTCACCTTCACTACCTCCATGTCTCACCTTCACTACCTCCATGTCTCACCTTCACTACCTCCATGTCTCACCTTCACTACCTCCATGTCTCACCTTCACTACCTCCATGTCTCACCTTCACTACCTCCATGTCTCACCTTCACTACCTCCATGTCTCACCTTCACTACCTCCATGTCTCACCTTCACTACCTCCATGTCTCACCTTCACTACCTCCATGTCTCACCTTCACTACCTCCATGTCTCACCTTCACTACCTCCATGTCTCACCTTCACTACCTCCATGTCTCACCTTCACTACCTCCATGTCTCACCTTCACTACCTCCATGTCTCACCTTCACTACCTCCATGTCTCACCTTCACTACCTCCATGTCTCACCTTCACTACCTCCATGTCTCACCTTCACTACCTCCATGTCTCACCTTCACTACCTCCATGTCTCACCTTCACTACCTCCATGTCTCACCTTCACTACCTCCATGTCTCACCTTCACTACCTCCATGTCTCACCTTCACTACCTCCATGTCTCACCTTCACTACCTCCATGTCTCACCTTCACTACCTCCATGTCTCACCTTCACTACCTCCATGTCTCACCTTCACTACCTCCATGTCTCACCTTCACTACCTCCATGTCTCACCTTCACTACCTCCATGTCTCACCTTCACTACCTCCATGTCTCACCTTCACTACCTCCATGTCTCACCTTCACTACCTCCATGTCTCACCTTCACTACCTCCATGTCTCACCTTCACTACCTCCATGTCTCACCTTCACTACCTCCATGTCTCACCTTCACTACCTCCATGTCTCACCTTCACTACCTCCATGTCTCACCTTCACTACCTCCATGTCTCACCTTCACTACCTCCATGTCTCACCTTCACTACCTCCATGTCTCACCTTCACTACCTCCATGTCTCACCTTCACTACCTCCATGTCTCACCTTCACTACCTCCATGTCTCACCTTCACTACCTCCATGTCTCACCTTCACTACCTCCATGTCTCACCTTCACTACCTCCATGTCTCACCTTCACTACCTCCATGTCTCACCTTCACTACCTCCATGTCTCACCTTCACTACCTCCATGTCTCACCTTCACTACCTCCATGTCTCACCTTCACTACCTCCATGTCTCACCTTCACTACCTCCATGTCTCACCTTCACTACCTCCATGTCTCACCTTCACTACCTCCATGTCTCACCTTCACTACCTCCATGTCTCACCTTCACTACCTCCATGTCTCACCTTCACTACCTCCATGTCTCACCTTCACTACCTCCATGTCTCACCTTCACTACCTCCATGTCTCACCTTCACTACCTCCATGTCTCACCTTCACTACCTCCATGTCTCACCTTCACTACCTCCATGTCTCACCTTCACTACCTCCATGTCTCACCTTCACTACCTCCATGTCTCACCTTCACTACCTCCATGTCTCACCTTCACTACCTCCATGTCTCACCTTCACTACCTCCATGTCTCACCTTCACTACCTCCATGTCTCACCTTCACTACCTCCATGTCTCACCTTCACTACCTCCATGTCTCACCTTCACTACCTCCATGTCTCACCTTCACTACCTCCATGTCTCACCTTCACTACCTCCATGTCTCACCTTCACTACCTCCATGTCTCACCTTCACTACCTCCATGTCTCACCTCCTCGCCTCACCTGCAGTGTGCCTCGTACTTGCGGCCGAGCAAGTCCTCAGGAAACGGCTCAACGTGCTTGGGGTGAGGCACCACAGGGCCGGGCAGCACGTAGGGGATGAGGGACCCACTCTCCAGCCACAGGGGCTCTTTGTCTCTCACTTGCAGGCTTATTTACCCGTACTGCCTCCTTGCCTCACCTGCAGTGTGCCTCATATTTGCGGCCCAGCAGGTCCTCAGGAAACGGCTCGATGTGCTTGGGACCCGGCACGACAGGGCCGGGCAGCACGTAGGGGAAGAGGGTTCCACTCTCCAGCTTGACTGGATCCGGGCCGAGCACCTGAATGGGCTGCTGCGGGTCGGTTGTGTCGTACAGGGCGATCGAATAGGCGCTGGCGCTGCTGTCTGCATTGATGAGACACACGCATGGAAGGCACAGGGGAGGGACACAGATTTAGAAATGGGCTCCGGGCCGAGCACCTGAATGGGCTGCCCTGGGTCGGTTGAGTCGTACAGGGCGATCGAATAGGAGCTGGCGCTGCTGTCTGCATGCAGCGAGACACACACGTGAATGGAAAGAAAGTGGGGGCACGACACATGAGGGTTTTGAGTCGACTCTAAAGCACTTGAACGGGCTGCTCCGGGTCGGTTGTGCCGTACATGGCAATGGAGCAGGTGCTGGTGGTGCTGATGCATGCATGCAAGCACACAACACAAGGCATGGGACATCAGTAGTAAGGGTCTCCAGACCGGACACCTGACTGCTCCGGGTCTGTTGTGTCGTACATGGCTGTGGAGCAGGTGCTGGTGGTGCTGCTGCATGCATGCAAGCACAAGCATAGAGGGCACATGAGGCCTTTGAATCGAGTTAAGAGCACTTGAATGGGCTGCTCGGGGTCGGTTGTGTCGCACATGGCAATGGAGTAGGTGCTGCTGCTGGTGCTGCTGCTGGTGCTGCTGCCTGCATGGGATGGGATCATGGGACCACACACACAACACACGCGAGGCAAGGCAAGGGGGACGCGGATTTGTGGAGCCAAAGCAGTGGTCTCCCGGCTGAGCAATGGAGTAGGTGCTGGTGCTGCTGCCTGCACGGGATAAGACCACACACACAACACAGGGGGACGCGGATTTGTGGAGCCAAAGCAGTGGTCTCCCGGCCGAGCACCTGAATGGGCTGCCCTGGATTGGTTGTGTCATACACGGCAAATGAATAAGCGCTTTAGGGGCTGCCTGCATCGATAACACACACGCATGTAAGGCACGGGAAGGGACACACAAATTGAGCACTTGAATGGGCTGCCCTGGGTCGGCTGTGTCATACATGGCTATTGAGTAGGCGCTGCTGCTGCTGTCTGCATGCAAGCACACACAAGGCATGGGAAGAACCTCAATAAGGGGCTCGGGAGCGAGCACTTGAATGGGCTGCCCTGGATTGGTTGTGTCATACATGGCTATTGAGTAGGCGCTGGTGCTGCCTGCATCGATAACACACACGCATGTAAGGCACGGGGAGGGCCACACAAATGGTCTCCCGGCCGAGCACTTGAATGGGCTGCCCTGGGTCGGCTGTGTCATACATGGCTATTGAGTAGGCGCTGCTGCTGCTGTCTGCATGAAGCGAGACGCACACATGCATGGAGGGAAACGCATGGGGGACACAGGCTTTCAGGAATATCAGAAATGGGCTCCAGGCAACATATGGGCTCAAAAACATTGCGAAGACTGTTATGGGGATGTGAGTGCGAACCGTTCTGAAGCAGGTGGAGGACGGCTTGTAGCTTTTTGAGACGTCTAAAAAATTCACTGAATACTTGCAGCTCCCTCGCGCTCCAGATAGCTGAGGTCTGTTTTGTGTCACTTTAAGGAATTCTCACAGGTGACACAAACGGGGGCAGCGTTGAAAAAGAGAAGCGATCGAACCGTTACGCCGCAGCAGGTGAAGGACGGCGTGTGGCTCGTTGCCCAGATGACTTTTGAGTCGACTCAAAAGTCAAGGAGAAGTGATCGAACCGTTATGCAGCAGGTGAAGGACATCTTGTAACTCGTTGCCCATATAGCTGAGGTCGGCCCATGCTGTGGGGCTCACACTCCCTCTGCATAACCAAGGTCTGCTTGTGTCACTTGCATGCAGCATGCTAAGGGCCGTTATGGGGAAAGGGGGAAGTGATCGAACCGTTATGCAGCAGGTGAAGGACGTCTTGTAGCTCGTTGCCCATATAGCTGAGGTCGACCCATGCGGTGGGGCTCACACTCTCCCTCCGCTGCTCCCGTAATGCGTTCTCGGGGACGAGATGGCGGAATATAGGCACCACAATCACTGCAGGTAGGGATGCATGCACGGATGGGGTCACACGGATGGAAGGTTGAATCATGGCACACGGATGGAATGATGGATGGATGGATGGATGGATGGATGGATGGATGGATGGATGGATGGATGGATGGATGGATGGATGGATGGATAATTGGATGGATAATTGGATGGATAATTGGATGGATGGATGGATGAATGGACCATGACGCGGTTATGGATGAGAAAAACACAGAACTGTCAATCATTTGCTTTAAGCCCAGACCTTGTCTGTTGCTGAGAATTATGTCAGAAGACCGATGCGGATTTATGGATGAGCAAAACACCCAACTGCAGATCGGTTCGCGTCGAACATAAGGCCGATTTAATTAGGTAGCGTACAGTCAAAGTATAAATGCACGCGCCTTGCGCTGAACTGTAGTGCAACAATGTGAGCGAGACTACGGATCATGTGACATGACATCACTTACTCACCAATGTTCACACTCTAGTGTTCACCCACCCACTCACCCAATAAAACAGGCACATGATACGTCTCAAAACGTCTCAAAACGTCTCAAAATGACTCAGCTTAAGAACTCTTTCGAAACGACTCACCAGTGCCCACACGCAGGTCGTTGCTAAAAAAGACAGGCGGCAGCGAGACAGAGTTGCCATCGAGAATGGAGGAGAGGAGCGACGGGGAGACCATGGCGGAGCGACGGAGGGACGCTGGCAGAGAAATTGAGTTGCGAGCCGACTCAATGACCGGACCCAACTAGCTCACCAGTGCCCACGCGCAGATCGCTGCTGAAAAAGACAGGCGGCAGCGAGACAGAGTTGCCATCGAGAATGGAGGAGAGTAGCGACGGGGAGACCATGGCGGAGAAATCGATGAAAGCCTCGAGATTGGCGACGTAAGCGTATCCGGGGAGAAAGTTGACGATGTAGTGCGGCTTGCGAGGGGAGGGCAGCCCGAGAGGTGACTTGATGTCCATGCCTGTTACGCCCTCAACCAATGCCCTGCGGGAGAAAGAGAGGAGAGGAGCAACGAGGAACACGCTGGTGCAGAAGTGGGTGAAAGCCTTGGGATCGTTGTTGGGGTATCCGCTGAGAAAGTTGATGATGTAGTGCGGCTTGCGGGGAGAGGGCAGCCCGAGAGGTGACTTGATGTCCATGCCTGTAATGCGCTCCACCAATGCCCTGCAAGCAAAGAGCAATAGGGGGATGAGAAAGCAACAGGAGGTAGAAAGAGAGATAGGGGAACACACACACACACACACACACACACACTCACTCACTCACTCACGCCCACCTGTCAGCATCCTACACTTGCAAGACGAGCGTCCCTAGGGTGAGGCTCTCCAGGCCATGCTGACGGTAGGACGGTGAGGCTCTCTCTCTAGGTCCAGGCTGACGGTAGGATTGTAGCGCAGTGCACGCACACCCACGCCCACACCCACGCCCACACCCACGCCCACACCCACGCCCACACGCACACCCACACGCACACCCACGCCCACACGCACGCCCACGCCCACACCCACGCCCACACGCACACCCACACCCACGCCCACGCCCACACCCACACCCACGCCCACACCCACGCCCACACCCACGCCCACACCCACACCCACACCCACGCCCACACGCACACCCACACCCACGCCCACGCCCACACCCACACCCACACCCACGCCCACACCCACGCCCACGCCCACGCCCACGCCCACACCCACGCCCACGCCCACGCCCACACCCACGCCCACACCCACGCCCACACCCACGCCCACGCCCACGCCCACACCCACGCCCACGCCCACGCCCACACCCACGCCCACGCCCACACCCACGCCCACACCCACGCCCACGCCCACGCCCACGCCCACGCCCACGCCCACGCCCACACCCACGCCCACACCCACACCCACGCCCACACCCACGCCCACGCCCACGCCCACGCCCACACCCACGCCCACGCCCACGCCCACACCCACGCCCACGCCCACGCCCACGCCCACGCCCACACCCACGCCCACGCCCACGCCCACGCCCACGCCCACACGCACACGCACACGCACACCCACACCCACGCCCACACGCACACCCACGCCACGCCCACACCCTCACCCACGCCCACACATACACATGCATGCACTCACGCACACACACACTCACGCCCACCTTTCGCTATCCTTCACGAGCATGAGCAATGTCCCTAGGGTGAGGTAATCCAATCCCATGGCGGTGGTGGCGTCTTTGTAGCGAACCAGGCTGTCGTTATTTGCACACCCCGCCACGCCCCAGTAGGTGAGGTTGGTGCTGCTGCGCGGGCCGTATCCGTTGAACACACGTAGGATTGCTGCCATTTGCTGCTCACACACACATACAGAGATACACACATGCGCAACGGAGTTGAGCAATGCTGGTTCCCACCCCTTCACTCCCCAAGAGATCAGGTTGGTGCTGCTGCGCGGGCCGTACCCGTTCAGCACACGCAGCAGCGCCGACATTTGCTGCTCATGCACACGCACATGCACACACGTGCGCATACGCAACGAGGTCAGCAGGGGTGGTGCACACCCCGCCACGCCCCAATAGGTCAGACTCGTGCTGCTTCTCCGCGGGCCGTACCCGTTCAAAACGCGCAGCAGCGCTGACATCTCCTGCACGCACGCACACGCACGCACGCACACGCACACATACACACGCACACGTACACACACACACGCACGCACGCACACGCACACATACACACGCACACGTACACACACACACGCACGCACGCACACGCACACATACACATGCACACGTACACACGCACACGCACACATGCACACGCACACGCACACACGCACACATACACACGCACACACACACACGCGCACATGCACACGCGCACATACACACGCGCACATACACACGCACACATGCACACGCACACATACACACGCACACACGCACACGCACACACGCACACACGCACACATACACATGCTCACGCACGCACATGCACACACGTGCGCACACACGCAGACATACACACGCACAACGAGTTAAGCAAAGCCGTCTCCCCTCCGCGCCGCCCCTCTGGGTTCCGCACCCCGGGGCGGGGGGCGCCATCAGCGCCGTGCGGGGCCGGCGCGCCGCTGCGCGACGGAGAGGGCTTCGAGGCGGAAATTTTAGGTCGAATCAAAAGTCGCGTCGCCGCTGCGCGACGGAAAGAGCTCCAGGACACCAGACGGAATGTCGTTGACAGTCGTGTACACGTGTCCTCGTGTCCCCCGTGTCAAGCGCGCCGATAATTTCTGAAAATCAAGGCCTACCTGCCACGAGGCCGAGTTCGCCACACGAACGTATAATTTCTATACGGGACCTCCCGAGCTCGCCACGGGACCTCACGTTCGGATAATTTCTTAAAATCCCGTGCTCTACCTCCTTTGCGTCGCTACCGTCGCTATGGGTCGCTATGCGTCGCTATCGCTACGCGTCGCACCTGCACGCGCGAGACGGACGAGAGCAGGCGCTGGTAGAGGTAGCGCACGCGCAAGTGGCACCACCCGCGCATCGCCTCCTCCCGCGGATTGGCGGCCTGCGTGTGCGCGAACCACACCACCCACGCGCACAGCCCCGCCCATCCCGCCACCCACACCACTCCCAGCAGCACCCTCCCCACGCCCCACGGCGGGCCCCGTGACGAGAGGCGCCACGACCGGCGCATTAGACTGGCTTGGATTCAGGAAGAAGAGTGAACAGCGAAAGTGAATAGACTAAGAATGAGGAGAGCATAGGCGGGGAACTAGTGGTGTTAGTTATGTAAGACTATGTGTAAAAGGTTAGGGTTGAGAATAGTATATCACGGTCCAAAGTGGTGAAAGAACGACACCAATACAGAATGCACGGCATCGTACCCAACCGAAAGAGAACTCTCGCGACGCGGGTGGAGCAGGTTGGGAAATGGACTTAGATTGGATTTGGTTCGCATGGGTTCGTTTGGGCTAAATTGGGATGGTGTTTGTTTGGGAAGAACTTGCCAGGGTGGGAGGGAGAGGGTGGGGTTCTTGGTCGCCCTCACAGATGCTTGGTCGCCTTGGATTGGGCGATTGCTGCAGCGCTGGGGTAATGTTACCTGTAGTGGGCCACACGTGCACGGTACAGCTAATGCCTGTTAGAGCCCCTCCCGGTTGCCTTGTGAAGGGGGTCTGTAAGCTAAACCTGCATTTCGCGTGTGGTTCGTTCGTTTCGTCAGGCGTCTAGCGTGCTTCAAAACTGCACATGGAGTGGGAGCTGTTCCCGCCGATTAAAACGGGCCATTTTGAGAGGCTGGGGTGTGTGAGAATGCTGAATTAGTGAATTCGTTGTTCAGATTTTAACTTCAGATGGCGGGCGTGCAAGGGCACTGCTGGGGCCTGTTCTTTGTGGCTTGTCCCATACGTGTGGATGGTGCTCGTTCCATGCACCAGGCTTGCATTTTTTATCGTGTGGTTTGGTAACCACACGATCAAATGACTGACGTGGGGTAGGCGAACAACGCCTGGCTGATAATGGGCTAGTACCCCACAGGTGCAGAGTACACGTGGCACCGTGAATCTGCCCAAATGTTTGTTACATGCACGATGAACCCTGCTTATGTGGCGGGGCAGTTGGGCGAATGCGTTCACGAAACCACGGCCGTTTCGTCCATTCATTTCGCCTGCCTGACTTCTGGCCTAGAAACAAGGCAAACCTTGGTCGGCCTGCCTTGTTCTGGACGGCACGTGCCTTGGTGGCCGAGGCGCGTGTACTGTATCCAGCCATCCAGGTGCTTGTACTGTGGGAGCAGCAAGCAGGGGTTTTGAGCTCGGGGGCAGCGTTTCCATCCGGTGCATGGCAAATTCGCGTGCACTGGTCGGGCATCATGTGTACAGCAGTGAAGTGGATGCTGAAATTTTTGGCGCATGGGCCAGCAGTGAGATTGTCCAGTCTGACTGGCCCATGCGCCAAAAAATATAATCCCTGACCGACGTGGGAGGGGACGCAATCAGGGCTGATTTTTCAGGGTAATCTACCTGGCCCTCTCTTTAAATCCGGGTGGATTTTGGGACCCATCCTGCAAATAGCAGGACGAAACGATTATGCTCGGCCCATTTCAGGGATCGTGGTTTTTTTAGGCTGCTGCGGACGGATGGTGTGCATTCTGCACATGGCCCATTATGAGTACTATAGTCCAGCACTCGGCCTAGAGTCTTTGCAGGAATCAGTTAAATTTTGTTAACTCCATGAAAATTGACGCAAATCTTCGGAAATTGGCTAAGTCCCAGAAAATTGGCTAGGACCCCGAAGATTGACAGTAGCCTACAATAATGGTGAAGCCCCTATGAAAAACGCCTAAGTCCAGCATTCCTGGTTTGAAGCATAAGGTAGTGCAACAACAAGAGTTAGCGTAAATTTAACTCGGCCCAGTGTGAGCGTCGAAACGATTTTACCCGGACTTGCCCTGCTTTTGAGCACGCTTCTCGGCCCAACTGAGTGGCGCGGATTTCACTCTAACTTAAAGCTCAAAGCCCAAATTGCGGAGGGCTCGGGGCAAGCTTAGTAATGTTGATGGGGAGTGCTGTTTTGAGTGTTGTTTGGGTTGCGAAATGGGGTTACGAGAAGGGCGATGTGATTTGATTGGCCAACATTTTTTTGGCCAATAGGAGAGCAGGAACACCAATAATATTGTGAGTTCAATTCGGGACTCTCTGTCCCCAACCCCACAGCACCCCCTGAAGGTTGTTGACTCAGCGAAACCAAGACAAGCGCAGCGAAATCATTCCCCCCAACCTCCCAACACCTTCCTCGACTTTGAGTTCACCACCCCCACCCAAGGGGACTCAATCTTGCCCAAGATTAGTCATCTTGTGCAATTTGGGCCTTGAGCTTTAAAGGGCGCCTTCAGAAAAAAAAAATAGCCCTGACCGTAATGCCACCATAGATTTTCCGATTTTCCGAACCGATACACTCGTGTGGACACCCCTTGTTCGGTACAGGCGGGCCCCTTGCACCCCTAAAAAAAATCAAAGACAATTGTGATCTAATTGCATGTGTAGGTGACTACATATTGTGGCAAACAACATATTTATGTCAGAAGTAGCAGTGAGAAACAAGAATGAAGAAAAGGAGGGGTTTCACTAGCAAGCAGTTGGATACATATAGCAAACCCTAATTGGGCTGTACTCACTATGGAGTACCCCACTGCAGGCTAGACAATTATAACATTCTGACACACCCCCATAGCCAAAGTGGGGTGTAATCAGCACAACAAGCAAGCATAGTAATAGTTCACAATTACAAGCAAAGCTAGAGGTAATCACAGCGGGCAAGTGAGGAGGAGGAGGAACTGTGGAAGGAGAGAAGATGGGAGACAACGACTGATGCTGCAGAGGCACGGGCACAGGAGCTGCTGACTCAGGGTTACCGAAGCAAGGGCGACGGACCCACAGTGGCTACCGAAGCAAGGGCGACGGACTACTGGAGTGACTGGCTCCGCGGCTAAGACGAGCGGCAGGAGCAACGGACCCACTGGCGACTGGTGCAACAGGCTCACTGGCTACCGAAGCAAGGGCGACGGACTACAGGCGCTGCAGGCGACACGACAGCTACCTCCACACAACCTCCTCCAACTGACCCACACCCTTGACACACACCCCCTGCTGAACCCTAGCTCCACTCCCACGGCACCCCCCTTAAACCCTAAACCCTCGGCTCCCACACACCCACCCCCCTCAGCGGCAGCTGCAGCAGTGGGAGACGGAGGAGGAGGAGGAGTAGGGGACGGATCACACACCCGCCACCCCCATACTTGCCACCCCCATACCCCCAAACGTAGGGCAAAAACGGGGGCAGCAGCTGGGGCGGTGTGTGAGCGGAAGCGGGGCGGCGCGCGGGCCCCCAGGGCGCCTCGACGAGTGACGGGAGGGGGGGACGCGCGGCCCCCCAGGGCGCCGCGACGGGTGACGGGAGGGGCGACGCGCGGCCCCCCAAGGCGCCTCGACGAGTGACGGGAGGGGGGAACGCGCGGCCCCCCAGGGCGCCGCGACGGGCGACGGGAGGGGCGACGCGCGGCCCCCCAGGGCGCCGCGACGGGCGACAGGAGGGGGGGGGTCGACGCGCTAGAGCCCAGGGCGCCGCGACGGGCGACGGGCAGGGCGACGCGCGCCCCCCCTGGGCGTCGCGACGGGCGACGGGATGGCGGGGGGGGGGGGCGCGCGCGGATCCCCCACGGCAGAAAACCGCCGCGCGCCTCGGGGCGCACGGCGGGCAGAAACTCGCCGCGCGCCCCGATTGCACGGCGGGATGAAAACCCTAACAATTTTCGCCCCGCGGCAGGAAGAAGACGGCGCGCGCC